TATAATTGTTCCCTTCTCTACTATCTGTGTGACTACAATCCTTCCAGTGCTGGATTTATGTCACAATTAATATGATGATGATTAATTTTGTTTCCAAATTTGCTTTCGGACTTAGTTGACACATTTTCATAATTTGTTTCTAGATCAGGCATCCGGTGGAGTGCCATAAAAACCCGAATGTTTTGTGTAATTTTTGTTTTTGGATGGGCGTAAAGAAATAGGGTTATGGTGTTTATGGATTTTGTTCTAAAACATAATGTTGATGGTGATGGTTTCTATGCCAATGGTGGTAGCAATAGTGATTTTAATGGCAGAAAAATCTCTAATAGAAGATGACTAAAAGTGGGAGTTGGGGAAAATGAGAGACGGGTTGGGGAGGGGGAGGCTTTTATTTTTATTTTTCTCTTTTTATTTTTTAAAGAAAGAATTACTATTTAAGGAGTAAATTAAGGTTTTTGTTATAATACATGTCACGACCTTATTGGTGCATGATATCAAGCATATTTTAAAAAACTGGTCAATAAAAAAGTAGTGTGTTTTAGACACACTCTAGAAAGATTGAGTGTATAAAGTGATTTTCGTTCGCAAAAAGTGTGTAGCATAGATTTGGTTCATAGTTTAGGGGGTAACTTATGTATTTTGCCCTGCTCTATATGATAGATGTCCTTTAATACATACCTGGCTGATCATTCGTGTTTCATTTCATTTCAAATAGAAAGAACCATAATTTGTTAAGAGTTTAGCCATAAATAATCTGTAGTTTCTTGGCTCACATCTTACCTGAGGTAGTACTTTAGCTTTTCAACAGAAAGGCGTATGTGATCAGGATGGAATGTGTATGCTTGTAATATTAGTCCAAAAATCTATGCCACGGTAACCTCAAAATTAGATATCTGTTTAATGCATCATTTCGCCCTCAGGCCTCATCTATGCTGAAACTCATGCCCTGGTTAAGTGTATCATTGACTTGACTCTTGCTTAATTTCTTCCAACTCTAGCCAAATGCTTAGTTCCTACATGATGTCAGAGGAAGCAACTAGAGATCTGAAAACACTGCCTGAAGCTGGCAATCTCACTGAAATCTCCGGTAACGGGAATGCTTCCAGGAAGCAGGTTGAGAATATTGATGGAAATCATAAAGAAATGGAAAGAGAAAAGTCCGCCTTACCAGTAGAACCTATCTCTAATGGAGACGGCAAGGTGATTCTGGGGCCGAGATTGGAAATTCGGAAGTAGAATACATTGAATCTGAGAATTTGAAGGATGTAGAAGATGTAGATATTAGCCTGAAAGTAACAAAATCTGGAGGTTTCATTTCTTACTTCTGTTGCTGTTTGGTTTCTTGTATCGGTTGAATAAGCCTCTTCTCAACATCTCGTATATATCCTTCCATATTTTAGACACTGTTGACTGGGCTGGACTCAAAGGACTGGGTTTTAGTGTGTGGGGCACTCAATGATGTATGACGTTTGTCCATGTTCCACAGAGACGCAATCCTTGATATGTTGTAAGTCTCATTTCGTAAATGAGGATATTACCAATGGTTTGGCAGATCTACGTTATGTGTTCTCTGTTAATTTTTTCTTCTTAACATAAGCAGAGGAAACGTGATATCACTTATTGTGAAATCCTTGAAGAATCCAAGAAGTGCTGTTTCTAAAACCGTTATCATGACTTCAGCAGACATTTTCAAAGCATACTATGACAGAATTGTTTGACTCTATGGATCCTCTCGTAAGCTTAGATTTCAACCGACCTTGTTCGTGCATGCACGTGCAATGTAGTTTCCTGAGACAATTTGTTTTCATCCTTGTGCTTATAAAGTGACACTCTTTGTGCCTAGCTTGTTCAACTTTTTCTGAATTCTTCACAAGACAAGCGATTTGTATGCGAGGCAACCGAGAAAGCTCTAATATCCATGACGACATGGGTTTCTCCAGTTTTATTGTTACCCAAGCTGCAACCTTATCTAAGAACAGAAATCCTCGAATTCGAGCAAAGGCTCTGGTTAGAGTTCTGAACAGCCTATTTCTTTTCTGATATGTTTTTTGATTGACGACTGATGAAACTTCATCTGATTACTGAGATATTATCTTGCTAAGTTTTGCTGACCATATCTAGATCCCGGACTGAGCTAAAGAAGGAATTTTATTTTAAAAGTATTTAATACTATACTATCGAGTATAATATTGTCAGTGACCTTAATCTACTGAACCTATTTAAACATATCCAAGGAGATTTAAGCCGGAGTGAAATCATATTTTGATGCTCATCTCTGCGTTGCTTAAAACGAAGTTCCTGTTCTTCTGGAATGAAATAGGACTATGTACTTTGTCGTGCATGATCCTATTGCTTGTGGAATGAGTAAAAGATGAATAAGATGTTTGTCCTGCTTCCAAGTTTTGAGTTGGTAAGGTGTTTTTACTATTTGAAATCTTTTATTTTCAGGAATATATGTGTTGGCTGTAACGGACTTGTACGATTTGCAGGGAGTTGATGGAATTAAAGCATATGGAATTGAGAAGCTGATCCAACTTGCCGCATCTCAACTTAGTGACCAGCTCCCTGAATCAAGGGAGGCTGCTCGTGCTCTATTGTTAGAACTGCAAAATGTTTACGAGAAAACACTTGATATGACGCCAACAGCAGTGAGTGAAGACCCCGAAACAATTCCTGGGAGCATTTCTGTCAATTGAAGCTCTCACCTTTAAGTGCTCAAGCTGTTCTTCGTGTGACAAATGTCGCCCGGTAGTCAGTGGCGGAGCCACATGCATCCAAGGGGTGTCAACTGACACTCCTTCGTCGGAAATTACACTATTTAGCTCGGTAATTTTTTTTAAAATATGTATATATACTATATAATAACACCCCTTAACTTCTGGTGAGTTTATTTCTTTATATTTTGACTCCCCTTAATGAAAATCTTAGTTCCGCCATTGCCGATAGTGTCTTCTTTTTGGTTCATAGTGAGCACATTTTCCCTTTATTCTAATATACCTGTAAATACCATTAAAGGGTGAGGTGCTTGGTAGACAGTTAAACTACGTAACGGAGCTATAAACCTAGAGTGTCTCGAGTATATGATTAAGATCACATTGCATTGTACTTAAAATCATTGACGGTGCACGCCACGGAACATAGATATGACCTTGACCACTATTGTTTGTTTGTATCAATATCTAAAGACGATGCATTAATATCAAATTCGAGGAGATTTGTTTCTTGGTGCCCATGCAAGGATGTTTGTTACAATCTAGTTCCTCTGGGTTACTGAGCAGCGCTAACACTTGATCTGAGAAAAAGCTCCATTCTAGATTATTTGTCATGATATTGTAAATCTACTGTCTAGATTATTGTAACATTACATTTCATCCGCTGTTTCATTTAATTGGTTGTTTATCAGATGTAGCTTCACTCTTTACTTAAAGAAAATCTTTTGTTTGTTCAAAAACCTTTCTTTATCCATTGTGGGTTGGTCAACTATTGTTGAGCTGACAACATACTGATGATTAACAAACTATGATAAGAACCAGGTTTCAGGGTCGAATTTGACACGTTGCAAGACTGGTGTGAAGATAAGACAAGATGAGTATATTGAACATTAAAAGAACCAGGTTTACAGAGCAGGCTGAAGTCAGCTAGTTAGACGCGGAAGACCAGCATTCCCACGCATTTGGGAGGACTTCCTGTAATAAAAGGAATATGCGTATATGGAAAATACTCGTGGAAAGTAAGAAGGATGCAAGTTGGGTAAAATATGGAAACCAAGCCTAAACGGGAGAGGATTTTCTTAACCGAAATATTTTAGGTTTTGGAGCAATTAATAAAGATTTCGGCCAACCTTGCACCTATAAAAGAAGACCTTTTACCATAATTCAAGACTACTGTTACTGAGAGAAATCAAGAGAATACTTCTGATGATAGCAAGAAAAGCAACAAGGTACTTTTAAAGATCCAACTCAATCAATTGAAGAACACGTTTTGAAGATGAGGTTGCTCGAGTTTTTTAGTTGTTAGGTTGAGTCTTTTCTTCTGATATGTAACCTATCTGCTTTCATAGAAGTGTAATAGGTTATTATTGAGACTTTGTTGTTTATTAGCTTTCTAGGCTAGAGTTAGTCGGGAACGGGGTTGCTACAATTGAGTTGATTGTAGGGGTTAGGATACTAGAGTTAGTCCCCTTTGTTATTGAGCTGTAACCTAAAAATTGTTCTTTGAAGTTAGTGGAGATTTGAGGAAAATCCTATTGGGTAGGTCGTGATTTTTACTCCCTTGAGCAAGGAGGTTTTTCACGTAAAAATCTCTTGATTACTTTTCCGCAATTATTCTTGTTTGAGTGTGTCGAACTAGTTCAAAGAACTAGGTTCTTTGAAAACGCAAAAATCAGGCAAAACACAATTCAACCCTCTTTCTTATGTCTAAGTGTAGTCTAAATTAACAACTACTTAGGCACGAAACTACAAATAGAAAACTACAGAGAACAATCACTTTTTGAATTTTGAGAAAAGCTCATTAGCCAAATACATCACAGCAGGGGCAAAGACGTTGAATGTAGGCTTCCGTAGTCATTCTACATTCCAAACAAATGACCTAATTCGAAGAAATGATAGGAATATGATAAATAGATAAGTTTCTCCTGTCTTAGCTTTATTAATACTTTAATGTACTGCAACAACTACAATGTTTGTATATTATATTCTCCACCAACTCCACAAGTGAAATAAACTTAAACCCCACGGAACATGGGCCTCCAGTGATTCACCGCTTATGCCCTCTGATGTGACTTTTTCTGCATAAAACTAGAACCATAAGTTCCAGCATTCGCACTCTTTAGCACCTTTAAGAATGATAGAACTCCATTTCTCTTGAACCTGAGGAGCCAATGTATAAATAATCTCTTATACTGGTTCTTGGTTTTCATCTCTTGAGATAATTATTTTAGAGATCGATGGAGCAAAAGATGAGATGAATAACTATGTATTAGGCATAACCTTATAATCATGACGATCGCGATATCAATGATACTGCTCTTTGTGGGGATTGGAATTCTGATCCTAATTCATGTCTGTATTGTCGGGAGAGCTTACAGAAGAGGAATTGGAACTACTAACATAGTGGAAAGAGGCAGCTTAGCGAGCAACAGCATGTCCCATGAGGATATAGAAAAGCTTCCTTCCTATGCCTTTCAGTCCAAAGATAAAGGAACCAGTCAAGTTGAATGTGCAGTTTGTTTGGATAATCTCAAGGTGGGTGATAAGTGCAGGTTATTGCCTCAGTGCAATCACAGTTTTCATGCTGAGTGCGTAGATTTGTGGCTCTTGAAAATCTCCATTTGCCCAATTTGCAGAGCTACTGCTGGTGGATCCATATCTGGAGGAGAAAGTAGCCGATTTAGCGAAAGTGGCAGGCAGGAATTAAACGCGGAAACTGCTGAATTAGCAGAGATGATATTGGTACCAGAGAGTGGCAATTCCGTTAACTATTTAAGCTTTGAGATGAGAGCGAATCATACAACCCAAAACAGTGAGCAATTGAGCGGAGTTGGTTCAACTGATGGCCAAACTAGTGAAGCGAATGTGAGCTTTAGTGAAACAAGAAATGATTGGAGAGTGAGCCAAGAAGAAAGTGTCCGTTTAAGTGAGAATTCTACTGAGTTGAGAGCAACCCAACCTATAGAAAGTATCCATTTGGTCCATGAAGAAATACTACATCAAGAGACCCTCAAACAGCTTGATTAAGTTAGCTAATCAGAGTTGACGAATCATTTCTGCATTGTTTTAGATATAATTTTGCTTGAACCGTAAATTATGTGCTTGTTTCGATTTATATAAAAGCTTTTTGTTTGGGATGAGTTGAGGCATCATAAATGTGCTTTCCTAATTTCTTTTCCTTTTGAGAGATTCTTTAAAGTGCCTTTTGACTAGGTTGCTGGCTCAACCCCAACCTAGTAACTAGAAGTCGAATGATCAAATTCATCGTTGAGAACGTTAATCTCCAAAAAGACAAATACTATGGTGTTCTAAACAAATAAACACTTGAATAGCAAAATCCGTTGAGTAATTAGTGTTTAACCATGAAAATTTTAAATTTCACTTGAAGTTTGAATTTTGAAATTTCAAAATTTTCACTTCAAATCGCTTTACACCTCGCGGTGCTTACACCTCTCGCCTATTGAAGTTCTGTTCAAAAACCTCGTCTGAGACAAGCACAGAGCAACTCGACAGCGACAGGCGAACAGTATAAGCCCTTCTCCTGCCTGGAGTGGGGCAGGGGCATCCCTCTCTGTAGTGTGGGATGGAGCTGACTTTGATGGCACGACTAATCAAAATGGGTACAGAATAGGGGCATTGCTGATTGCACCTGATGAATCGCACACCATATTGTTCACAAAAGTTCAAAAACAGATCCAAATTTTATTCATGTTCAAACGCAACTCTAATTTTCAAATACTCTTTTAACTTAAAATTCTTTCACTTTTTTCTTGAATTTCACAATTTTTATGTCCAAACGCCCACTTATTTGCTGTTGCTTAAGAAATAGTTTCACAAAAAGGAGACAAACCAACTATAATATCAGATTTTATCTCTGAATTGAGTGGGAAAATGAGATATGAAGTTCGTTCTCTTTCTCTGAGTAAATTATTTGTTCATTGTTACTGCAATCTCCATTGCACTTAAACTGCTGATTACATATGCTACTGTACGTGCCTAGAGCTTGCGCAAGTCCCAACCTTTCCCTAACCTGTTGTGAGCTCTGTAGAGAGAGCCGTAAGATATTTTTCTAAAGAATAAAAAAAGGAAAAAGATAAACGCTTTGAAGAGGTAAGTTAACCAAACTTGATATTTAGCAGTCAAGTTTTACTAATATGCGGGTAAAATCAATTTAGTATGTGATAATCCAAAATGTCATCTTTAAAATTTAATAAGTAATTCTGTATTTTAAGACCTCGAAAAGTATTATTTATCATTCATCGACTTGCATATGCAGTCCGTATAATTTCCGAAAAAGTTTTTGTGTGAAAAATAGATTAAAATGTGAAATAGAGCTTTAAAACTCAACTGAGTTGACTTTGGTCAATATTTTGAGCAAACGGACTCGGATCAGTATTTTGACACTTCTGTTAGGTCTGTATCGTGATTTGGGACTTGGGCGTATGCCCGGAATCGAATTCTGAGGTCCCTAGCCCGAGATATGGAATTTTGATGAAAAATTAAAAGTTTGAAAGCTTAATGATTTTTAAGAATTTACTGATATTGGACTTATTGACACCGGGTCTGTATTTTAGTTTCGGAGACCCGTATAGGTCCATTATAATATTTATGACTTGTCTGCCGAATTTGGTGAGAATCGGAGTTGATTTGACGTGATTCGGACGTCCGGTTATAAAAATATAAATTTTAAAGTTTTCTTGAAAATTTTCTATCATTTGGTGTCCGATTCGTAGTTCTAAGTGTTAGTTTGGATATTTTATCGCGCGAGTAAGTTCGTATGATGTTTTAGGACTTGTGTGCATGTTTGGTTTGGAGCCCCGAGGGCTCGGGTGAGTTTCGGATAGGCTACGAGATGATTTCGGACTTAGGAAATCTGGTTTTCTGCAGACTTCAGGCTTCTAGTGTGTTCTTCTTCGCGTTAATGAAGGTACTCTCGCGAACACGAAGAGCAAATTGTGGCTGGCATGTTTTGTGCTTCACGTTCGCGACAGAGTGAACGCGTTCGCGAAGGTTTGAGGTGCAAAACTTCGCGTTCGCGAAGGCCAAACTAGGAAAGCTCCGCGTTCTCGAAGTAGCCCTCGCGTTCGCGAAGAGTAAAATTGGTCAGCAGAAATTTATGCTTCGCGAACGCGAGGCACTGACCGCATTCGCGAAGGGTAAAAATTTCAGAAACAGAACTTAAGTTCTGAAAAATGGGATTCGTCCCATTTTTGAGCTCGGGTAAGGCGATTCTTGGGTGATTTTCACGAGAAAACATTGGGATTTGACGCTTTTGGAGACAAATTCAAAAGAAAAAGTTGTGGTCGAATAATTTAATGGAATTTGCAAAGCGAGGTAAGTGTCGTGGTTAATCTTGACTTGAGGGAATAGAACCCTTAAATTATTTGTTATGTGAAAAGCATCTGAACGACGTATAGGCGAGGTGACGAGTGTCTATACGTCATCAAATTAATTGTTTGTATAATTATTTGAAAGTCTAAATTGTTTGAATACACGAATTAATTGTTATAAAAATTGTTTCTCTCCTATTCTTTGTCAAATATTAATTCTTGAATTCCTGCAATAATTGCTACATGCTTATTTGATTTATGTGCATTAATTGCTACTTTACATTTAACATATTAAATATTAAACTGCCTATTTTCTCCCTGATTTTCATAATAAATTACTATCTGTCATTGTTTGTTTCATAATTAAATCATAATTATTGTATGCTTGTTGTTTTATAATTTTATATTAATTGTTGCATTTATTGGGGCAATTTCTTCTATAAGAATTGGTAAATGAATATATTGGAGGAGCGGGTTGGACGCCGCAACAGAATTGATTGAAATGAATATATTGGGGAATCGGGTTGCACGCCGCAACAGACTTGATTAAAAATCCATATTGGGGGATCGGATTACACGCCACAATAGACTTGATTAAAAGTTCATATTGGTGGATCAGATTGCACGCCGCAACAGACTTGCTTAAAAGTCGATATATATATATATATATATATATNTTGCATGCCGCAACAGAATTGAATATGAATATATTTTGGGAGCGGGTCGCATGCTGCAACAAAAATTGATTAAAATAATAATTGGATATGATTGCTAAGTTGACTTCAAATATAAGCATGAGTTACCGAATTTATTTTTATTATTGTGGTTATTACTATTATTGCGTATAGGGTAATGTAAGTGACTTGCCTTAGCCTCGTTACTACTTCGTCGAGGTTAGGCTCGACACTTACCAGTACATGGGGTCGGTTGTACTGATACTATACTCTGCACTTTTTGTGCAGATTTCGGAGTTGGTCTCAGCGGCGTACCATAGACTTGCTCGGATTCCAGCTACCCAGAGGAGACTTAAGGTATAACTACATGGCGTCCGTAGTTCTGAAGTCCCCGTCTACTTACTTTAGTTGTGTATTTGTTTCAGATAACTCTATTTTATTCAGACCTTTATTTGTATTATTCTAAAAACTCATGCACTTGTGACACCAATTCTGGAATAGTATTTAGACACCGTTATTTTATGAATTTTTCACAACATTTCAGACTTTACTTCCGCATTTAATTCTTTGTTATTAATAAATTTAAAAATTATTTTAAAATAAATAATATTATTCTAATGTTGACTTGCCTAGAAAGTAAAATGTTAGGCGCCATCATGGTCCAAAGGTGGGAATTTCGGGTCGTGACATAGTACAAGTATTTTCTTAAGATATTTAATGTCTACTAGTCTCAAGGTGCGCGCGTTGCGCGTGTACCTTATATTAAGATGTTTAAAATTTTAAAATACCTCATATATTATTAAAAATGTATCTAAGTTGTAAAATTGAGAATAATGATAAATGTATATAAGTTTCTAAAAATAATATACGTCGAGCCTATTTAGAAAACTCAATAAAGAAAAAGCTCTACCCGTTTTTTACTCATCCACATGTTAATGTTAATGTTAATGTTATTATATTTATTTTCTTCTTTTCTTAAAAATTAAGAAAGTGACTTTAAGAATACCTAATCCATGTACTTATTTGATATTGTCATAATCTATTTATCTATTATTCGTATTCCATGAAAACAAAATTCAATTAAATTGAATGTTGTTATCATTAACTTTTTAAAAGTAAAAAATTGAGAATCTAGATCTATTTAAAAGAAAAAGTAGAATCTAACATCTCATTTTTTTGGTCACTGACCCGTTTGGGTTTTATAGATTTTTAATTTTAAAAAGAGCTTGATTGTTGTAAACCAAAAAAAAGAAAAAATTGTATAACAAAAAAAATAGTTATTAATATATTATAAACCATTGATTAATTAAGTTTTCAAAAAGGATTCAAACTTTGCAAAAAGTTTTATTCTCATTGTAGTGATACTTGAAAAACTCCTTCAAATATTGTAAATATAGCAAATCCCTCCCTAACCAAAAGTATTGGGTTTAAGTCTTGTTTATAAAATTATCTTTGTTGGTTTTCTGATGTGAAATCGAATTTAATCGGCCCCAATACAAGTATCAAATACTGAGTAGAAAATCAATAAACATAGAGTAGCATAGTTTTATTAGATTTATAATCCTTGTGAAAACTAACTTTAGTTACAAACATAAAGGATTTTGTTATGTTGATTGAGCAGATAATATTTTTATAAGATTTATAAATCCTTGTGAAAGTTAACTTTAGTTCCAAATGTAAATAATTTTGTTATATCGATGCATTTGAATATAAATCCTTGTGGAAGTTAATGTATTTTCTAAACCTAAAAGAAGTTAAAACTGCTCGAAAATTTGAGTGTTTTAGTCAATAACTACTACTAATAAAATAGTAATATCTATCAAATTGAACTTATGTTCTACCTAGGGGTGTACACGGACCGAGTTAGTTCGAATTTTATTAAAACCAAACCAAACTAATTATATCGGTTTGGATTGGTTCGGTTTTATCGGATTTTTTGGGTTTTTTTAATTTTTTTTGTTACATAAATATTATTTCAATCTTGCATTATTAAAGTTATAGATAAAATTTTGATAAGTGAATA